GAAAAATGGTCAAAATGCTTTAGTAACATAACCAGAAAAGACTGAAAAAATATTAAGTAGTAGTGAAACAAAGTTACTGTTTCCAAAAAGCATTCAGAATACATACCAGGCTAAATGACAAAACCCTGTTTCAGATACAAGGATTAAAAATAAATAAAAGTAAGTACACTCTAGTCTACCATGCTAGTAACTTACTAAAAATACCATCCCTCTGCAAAGTGATTCACCCATACAAAATTAGGATTTCAACCAATAGGGGGCATTATAAATGAATAAATGGTATTAAATCTTATTTAAAACTTTAAATCTACTACAACAAGAATATGTCCATTTTAACAGGAAATTTGTTTGAAGTAAGAAGGTTTGGAAGTTGTATGTCATAACTTATCTATAACAATTCTAACCTCTAGCAATCATCATGACTGAATAAAATCAAGTACCATGGCCTTTATCCTGTAAATGTTAGAAATAATTTCAAAGAGAGTAGGATAAGATCCTAAATTTGAATTTTACAACTAATGAGATAGTAAAAGTTTGTAAAGGAAAAGAATACAAAACCCTTACTGACAAACATGCAAGGGCATCTCATTTGTTTCCATACGTTCATTATTCCTATTTAATTCTCTTAATAAGAGTTACTAAAAATGTACATGCGAGAAAAGGATATATTTCTTCATGCAATCTATAGCGTATCTCTAAAAATATTTGTAAAAAGAGCTGCATAATTTTATGTCCACTAACATTATTCATACCTATGTCAACTAAGATAATGATAAAGTTAATCAAGCTGCATGCTTCAGGACAAAGATAATCACCTCAGTGGGTCAGGAGGAAATTTCCTGCATGACCACCACCAGTACTATAAATGTTCATGTGTGGATGTATCTGCACATATCACACAATTGACTAAGTACATTCAATGAGAAGGAGTATCCCCCCCCCCCCCCAAAGTATCGGATATTGGTCTAGTGCCAGAGACCAGATACCAGAATAAAGGGATGAAGTCTAGTCTACAGTAATCATTATATTCCAAAGATCTTACTTTCTAATTACAATCTTTACTGACTAAAGAAAACCTTATGAACTGGATATAAAAGATTGGAGTGTTTGGGAGGTGGGGAGAGGCAGAGGGTTGGCAGGGGTAAGTTTTAAAGAGCTATCTTCCAACCTTTTAGACTCTCCTTGAATTTATAGGTACTGCCCGTTACCTTCTAATCTTCCAGAGGACCCCTTTGTGTATAAAACCTAGAATACTTTAACTGCATACTATCTCAACAATTTGCGGTATGATATGGGAACTTATAAACCAGAGATGTTATTTGTATGAACTGATCTGTGGTATGTAATCTGCTTCTTGCTGACCTGTTCACCAAAAACATACCTGAACTATAGTAACTTATTTAGACAGCATATTTTTAAGAAAAGTCAAACAGGCAAACTAAACAGGAATGCAGCGTTCTCTACACATGAACATGCTATTGCAATCTATTTTGAAAGGTGCAAAAGCTAACAAAAATGAACTGGTTTTACTACAATATAAGTCAAGCATTGGACATAATTATTTTCAATTCTATACCCTGCTGCTTTGCTATACTCAAAAAACAATTTTTCACATTTTAAATACTGCTACCAAACAATACTTAGGATTCTTCACTTTTACTAAGAACTCTGTGAACTCATTCAAAACCATATCCTCATGTCAGAAAAGATTAACATATACTGGCCACAGGAGGGAGGTCAGAAAAAGGCATGCCTTCCATCTCTACTCAAAAAGGGCCTGATCCAAAGCCCAGTTCAGTGAATGGAAAGATTGCATGAGGAATGGCAAAATTCCATGACAAGAACTCAGGAACACAAGAGACTAGGAAACAATCATGAGGGTAGGTACCAGGTCGTTAATCCTATGCAGTTAACATTCAATGGATAGTATACTATGCTTTGTTTCTTAAATAACTGATGTAAGCTGACTAAATTTGGCTTGACAACCTAAAATATTTTCAAGGTTTTTGCCTTTACACCTCTCGTTTTGCTTGGCAGCAGGCTTTCTATCATCTCTCCAAAGATTCTCATCCATGCCAATCCCGCTTCATCATAGTTTTGTATAAAGTCCTGATAGCTATTTCTGGAATTTATGTTTGGTGATTAGCGCTTTCTGTGGAGAAGACATAAGCAAAGGTCAGGATGAATGGGAAAAAAGAATTGCCTTCCACACCAGAAAACTATTTGCCAGTGATTTAGAGACCCTATTTAGAAAAAGGTTCTTTGAATACTATTGTTCTTATTATTATTAGGATCACAGATAAAAACAGAAACCAATTCACTTTGCAAACTGACTCGTAAGTTAAGTATTCAAGAGAAAATTCCCTGACGTTTTATTGATTTGTTTTATTGATTTTTAAATATAGCAATATTGCAGTTAAAATTAACCATATTGCTGAAAACAGGCACTTGAAAAACTTTTCAAATCTTGAGGCTTCAGTTTAAGACTTAAGGTAAAAGCTTGTAAATATGAAATATCTTTTCAACCAGATAGGTGCAAAATTTAAAAAGTCAAGTTCATTTAAATATGTTGTTATAAGTATTTGTCATCACAACAGATGCCCAACAAAAGCGTTTAGATTAATCAAATGAGATTTTACACAAGACAAATGAATAGCTTTGTTGAAATCCACATCTGATTGAATAATGTATTAAGCTTGACTAAGTTGTAAGCATCATCTAAAAAAAAGGAACAGAGTGGTACTCAAGTGTGTCAAATGACTGTGATACAAATATAGCGGTGATAAGACATTTTAGATGGTGTGGATGTAATATTTTATATACTGGAATGGAGTTTGTTCTTATATTTTCAATCACAATAATAAGTAAAATATCAGATAAAGAACAGAGTAACTGTTGTCTTATAAAAGGAAATTTAAATTACTAGATCCATTATTTCAAAATTTTTACAAAATTGCATTAAAGTTACAAGTAGTTAAAACCAAGCCAGAGTAAGTCATACGCAAGAAAAAAGATTAGAAAGTAAATAGAGTTGTATGTACTAATGGTGAAATCCACGTTACCAAAACTCAATGAACTACTCCGCTTCACCTCACATATAATGTAAAAATACGGGGTGCATAGATACCATAAACTCTCCCCATTATTTTCCTGGGGGTCATATCCTGCTTGCCATGTGTGTGTGTGTGTGTCTACACACACACACACACACACACACACACTGTAATTTCTACCATGTCAGATTACAGCACAACTATCTCCTGAGGCTGTTGAAGCACAGTCAGTTTTGCAGTGCTGATGTGCTGTGACCCTGGTTTTAATCATGTTCCCAAATCATGTTACAACCCAACAAATGTACACAGGTTTCCCCTCAGAGCTAGGCTATCCTGTTTTTTAATGCTGTGTATTCTTTAGTATATATATATGCACCTATACAAATGTAATCCCAGCAGTATGTTACTCATTTTTCAAACTCTTTTTGATTCCACCACCAACCAAAATCTCTCTAGCTCCCAAAAGGTTTCCAAAGTAGTTACTTAAGTTCCTCTAGAGCAAGTTGCCTTCTTGTCCCCCTAAATATTCAGATGCTTCAATAATCAATCTACAACTAAAGACCATGGGGAAAGTGTTTTCCTTTGCCTTGCCCTGGCTAATGAATCCAACTCCCCCCAGCTAATTCAGAGAGTCACACCCAGACACTGCACAACAAAATGAACAATTCTCCACGTGCTGTTCTTGCTGCACTTTAAGCAGCCGTCATAATAATAATAGTAATAATACAGTAATAGTAGTAATAATAATAGAAAGTGAAATCAACCCAAGTGATTAGGTGGAAGAGATGATTTGCTGTTACAGAAAAAAAAAATTCTTGGCACTGACTAAAGTCTCTTTATTGGTCAAGTTGAGCCACTGTAGAAAGTTTCCCACCAAGGCCTGGAGTCTTGGTGTCTTTCTGGAGTTAATGTCAGACTGGCTCATTCTTTCATACAGATCTCCCTGCCTGTCCAGTGTAGACAGCAGAGGAGCACTGTAAGCAGGTGACAGTGTATTTAAAGCTGCTTAAAGCCAGAATCCCCCTCCACCTCCACTACCACCACCCAAGGACCTGGCTGAAGTGAAGACACTGGGGACCCCTCTGCTCTTTATAGGGGGCACCTGATGTCCCCCTTCCCTTGGCCAGACAGATGCAACCCGGGCACTGACGGATTTGGGGATAATAGCCCTAACCCTCCCCACTTCACCCTGCACTTTTGAAGCAAGCTATGCTTGAAGAAGGGTGGTTGTGCCCGAAAGCTTGCAAAGAGCAATTTTTCCAACTCGAGCTGGTCTAATCAAAGATGTCGTATCTTCTCAAAGAACCTTGTCTGCCTCTGGTATTTCAACAGGAATTTCCTCTTTTATCA